TCAACTCGCCTAACAGGTGCATCACTCGGTCTTCTACGCACATGACCAAACCACCTAAGGCGCGACTCCCGCATAAGGTCTTCAATAGGTGCTACTCCCACCCTTTGTCTGATTGTCTCATTCCTCACGCGGTCCTTCCTAGTATGCCCACACATCCAACGCAGCATGCGCATCTCTGCCACACTCATCTTTTGAATGTGACATTGTTTCACCGCCCAACACTCTACGCCATACAGTAATGCAGGCCTAATTGCTGTCCTATAAAATTTACCCTTCAGTCTAGTCGGCATACCTCGGTCGCACAGAAATCCTGACGCACTCTTCCACTTCATCCACCCTGTTCTGATTCTATGGGATACATCTCCATCTAACTCACCGTCCTTCTGAATTATGGAGCCCAAGTAACGGAACATATCGCTGACTGGTATCTCCTTACCATCCAGAGTAATTCCGCTATTACCACTACTTCTACCTCCACCAAACTTGCACTCCATGTACTCTGTCTTGCTCCGACTTAGTTTGAAACCCTTATTCTCCAATGTTTGTCGCCATACTTCCAACTTTGCTTTAAGACCTGATTGCGTCTCATCAATCAATACAATATCGTCGGCAAACATCATGCACCACGGTATATCGTCTTGAATTGACTTCGTAAGTTCATCCATGACTATGGCAAATAAGAAAGGACTCAAGGCCGATCCTTGGTGCACTCCGATAGTAATAGGGAACTCTTCAGTCCTCCCTACACTAGTACGAACACTTGTAGTACAATCCTCATACATATCCATGATGATGCTGATATACTTGCGTGATATGTCTTTCCTAGTTAAGGCCCACCAAAGAACTTCTCGAGGTACCCTATCATATGCCTTTTCTAAGTCAATGAACACCAAATGCAGATCCTTATGAGCATCTCTATACTTCTCCATAAGTTGACGAAGAAGGTGAATAGCCTCAGTTGTTGAGCGACCAGGCATAAAACCGAATTGATTCTCTGAAATCTTCACATTCCTTCGAAGTCTTTGCTCAATCACTCGCTCCCAAAGTTTCATGGTGTGACTCATAAGCTTAATCCCTCGATAGTTGGCACATTCTTGTACATCACCTTTATTCTTAAATAAAGGGATAAGAGTACTCTTCCTCCAACTCGTTGGCATCTTGTTGTTTCTCCAAATCATGTTGAAGAAACTTGTTAACCACTCAACGCCTCTCTCTCCCAAACTTCTCCAAGCCTCGATCGGTATGCCATCTGGCCCCATTGTCACGTATCTTGATTTCTTCCATAATTAGCTCTCCCAAATTACTGTAAACTGGTTTATTAACCTATCAGTCATTTAGAACATTGCTCCTATTTATAATTGATAGCCAAAAATTATTGTACTGTGCATGTAACACGTCTTTTTTTATTCTCAAAACGGATTCATACATAAATACCTCCCAAATTAGGGATCTTTTGAATTATTCTAGGTATAATTTATTCTTTCTTTGTTCCTAGGATTGTAAGAAGGGTGATATTATTATTGTAAGGGCGTACACTCATTTACTACTCTCTGGAACTATCCTTCGATTGACAACAAACTATGTTGATATATATCTATAGATTTCTATGACACCTAAGGCTAGCATGTATATTTTTAGGTGAAGCTAGTGATTCCGCTCGAAAGATACCACATATCTTCCCTGCTCGTGGGGTGTGGTCCATCACTCTGCTTTATTTTGTTATATGCTACTACTCAGCTATGAACTATCCTTTCTGTTATGCAGTCAGCTGGAGGGGAAGACTTTAATTGATGCAAACCATGTATTCCTTGAAACGCATAAAGGTTAGTACTCTTTTTACATGTATGATACTGCATCATCATCATACATTCATACCCTAATCCCAACTGTATTTTGGCCATTGGCATGAATTTTGTGTCAAAAGATCGTATATAATTATGTAAACACTAAATTCAAGAAAAAATATGTGGGTACTCCATCCAGGATCCGTCTTATAGTATTATAACAACAACATCCTAGCCTTAGTCCAAAAGATTTTGGGGTCGGCTAACATGAATGGATACATGATATTGGAGCCAAAAAGAAAAGAAAGATAAAAAAGATAAAAAATAAGGTAAGATAAAAAAGGATAAGATAATGATAAATATAAGATAAAGATAAAAATGATAAGATAAAAAGGATAAAAAGAAAATATTAGAAATGAAGCAGATAGAAGAATATTGGGAAATGACAAACTGATCTTATTGAATATTGAAATGAGTACAGAGTATTTATAAGCTGGCTGCTCAACTGACTTTTAACTAAAGCAACAATAATACTATCAAATTTATAACCGACTCTAACAGTCTATCTAACAGAAAATATATAGAATAAAAGGGATAAACACACAAGAAATTTAATGAAGATATAAAGGCGTGCATAGTATTAAGACATGCATGTTTTTAATGCAGGTTTATAATGCATGTATTAAGATCCATCTCATAGTATTAGTTCCCAAAAAACGTGCACGTTAATGATACTTTTGATTGCAAATCAGTATTAAAAACAAGTTTTTTTGGGAGCATATTTTTGATCTGTTCTATTTTAGTCACCATGTCCTTACTTTCAAGTGATAATAACAACGACAATGGGTTTGGTTCTGTTACAGATTCATTGATTCATAGGGCTGCTGTAGCGGAGTTGCTGCATATCCTAGAGCCAAACAAGAAGACAGATGCTGTTAAGTTAATTGAAGAGTCTGCAAATGGTGCAGTTTCAGTGTATGAACTATTGACATTTGATTTCTTTTATAGATGAATCAATTCTCATTTCCTGTATTCTTAAAAATCCTAAACCTTGCATGTTTCCCAAAGTAGAAATGGAGTACAAGGGTCATTAATTAATTGGAAGCTGAAAGATTGCATTGATGTCCACAAATGTCTAGACATAACTCTGGATGAACGTGATGCTGCATTGAGTAAGTTGTTTCTTCGTGTCTTATGCTCATAAACCTTGAAGCTATTATGTTGGGGACTAGTGCATGAAAGGCATAAGATTTATGTGAACTATAGTTTTCAAATTGGATTCCATTGATCTTTTAAGGGATGCTTTAGAGTATCAACAGTATAAATAACACATTTTGATACCAATGACTGGCCATTTAGCAATAATGTAAAACATAGTTAAACGACCAAGTTGCCGTCTTATTTATTTCACCATTGCGTGGTCTTAACATCCCTAACATCCCTGATAATTGGAAATGCAGAAGCAAACTATATATCTTACTTGATATAGTAAATTTTACTATATGTTGTTGTAGTAGTAGTAATTTATACTATATACATTTATGATATACAGCGTACATTTTCTGCGATCAAGCGGTTTTTCGTAGTGTAAATTTTACTAGAAAATTGAAAATGCAAAATATCTATGATCCCTTATGAGTTTAAGGCCTCAAGTAATGATACATCAACATCCCTAGCATATGTGATATAAATACATTATCACTTCTGCATGTTGAAGCATGATTATGCTTTCTGAGAATTATCAGAAGGGATGCATCAGGGAATATTGAGGCCTCATAAATTTTTAAACATTATGCAATAAGAAAGGATGCATATTGGATCTTAGGAGATATACGTTATCAATTATGCATAATGAACCTTGTCTCAGAAGTGCAAAGCAACTCAAGGCTTAAAAACCCTATCCCTCAGTTGTATAAAAAAAGTTTAATTTCATATAGCTGTGTCCACAGGTTCCTAAGATGGAAAATACATCCACCCTTTGATAAATCAAACTTCTTAAAATGACAAGAAAAGATGATACTATATTATGATACATCAGAAGGGATCTTTAATTACATGAGAGGTTTAGGAGGTTCTGGATCCAAATCGAAACTGGACATCCAAAAACGGAACTACTACCTCCGTTCCCATTTTAACTTCCAAATGGGTTTGGCACAAAGTTTAAGATAGTGGATATTGTGTGGTGGAGAGTTGTGCAGAGGAGAGAGAAATGTGTAAGAAATATTGTGAACCACAAATTCTTTACCAAAAAGGGAAAGTGAAAGTTTTAATTGGAACGGACGAAAAAGGAAAGTTGGAAGTTTATTTAGGAATGGAGGGAGTAATATTTTAGTTTTAGAAAATTCATAACTGAAACTGAATCCATATATGGTTGGGAACCGATATTTGGCAACCAGAATTTTGGTTCAGTTTTATGGTAGCTCGGTTTTATCAAAAACCATTTTTTTTGTCTATCCCAAAGCTTAAAGTAGTTTTTTTGTGAGGACTTAAAGTAGCTTTCTGAAAGGCAGCAAAAAGTGAAAGGCGCCACTGGAAATCCAAGCGCACATGCAGGGCATGATAAAAAGTGTTGCCTAACCAGTAACCAATAAATTATTTGTACATAACAATGTATATATTCCAATAGAGTTTAAAAAGGCTAGTTCGGTTGCCGTGGCGGTTTGTTCTAGAGAGGCGGAGTGTAAACCTCGAGGCATATTGAGGTGTAAGCCTAAAAATATACCAACTAAGAATTAACTAAATATATACATAATTATAGGTCCCAAATGTCTCAAACACTGACACATTATACGATCACATAATCTCACACATAATCTAAAGTGAGAAATCAAATGCATGAACAAACACGTCATACTAATGACATACCTTAAGAATAAGGCAATTTAGAAATCTGGAAGCTTAGTCATCATAACATCAAGACTTGAAGGCCCTTCGAAAGAATCATCATGTCTTATAGCCTTATTATCGTCATTCCTTCTATCATCACTATCAAAATCCTCCCAGTTTTCTAGGCGTAAGGTACCTGAAAGAACGGCACCGGCTTTTCGACTTCTTGATGCAGAATGTTGAATGTTTGTAAGTTGTCAACTAGTTTGTGCAGTATTTGATATATATTGTCAGAATTCTTAGGGTTTAGAAAGTATATGTGGACATGTGTTCATTGTATGGGCCTGTCTAAATAAACAAGAGTACGGCCTAAAAAACACACCTTGAGGCGTGCCTCAAGGCGTACGACTTAACTTTTGAGGCACAAACCTCGTATCTTGCAGAAAGGGTGTAAACCTCAATACCTTTTTTGGGCGCGTCAATGTGAGGCACGTTCCTGAAGCCCTTTTTCAAACCATGGTTCCCATCCAAACTGGCCATAGCCAGGATGAGTGGCAAACACCAATTCTAACAAGTTTGCTGCTGTTCGATTCTGAGCGGAGATTGTGCATCGTATTTAAAGAATTTGGGACAAGTACAGGTGCTCAACTATATACTCCCTCAGTCGCGAAAAGGTTTGTCAAATTGACTTTTCTTGGTCAATCACAATCAACTTTGACATATGATATTTTTTAATATGAAATTATTTAGAATATGAAAGTTATATCAAAATGTCCCTTATTCAAAATATTTTCATAAAATTAAAAAATCTATAAATTATATACAAAAATAATAATTAAAATCAGTCCCCAGTTTGCCATCATTGACCAAGAAAAGTCAATATGGCGAACTTTTTCGGGACGGAGGTAGTAAGAAATTACATGAAGATAAAACTTTTAAAGAGAATTCAAATCAATTCCTTGGTGATGGATGATCACAGAAGTATTCAAAAGGGGGACCCAATCGGACAAATTCAACAGATTATATGCTATATTTTTTCCTCAATTTTCGTGCCTTATACAATTTGATGATTGTATAAGTGGTGGTTATGGGCTTTTAGCTCGCATTTTTTAGAAATCCCCAATGAAAAATACGTAGTATTCTCTTTCTATCGAATTGATCATACACTACCAACATTCCATAAAATAGTACACCACAAATACAAACTAATAAAAAGACCCCGAATTCTGTAGAAATACATGACTATTTCTTGTGGGAAAAAAAATTTTGCTCGGCTGGAAAAATAGATATCCAATTTCTACCAAGATAATTAGGTGTTCCTACTAATAAGAATCCCAATGAACCTAAAAAAAGATAAAAGCCCAACCAAAATTACTTATTTTTTATAGACCTGGGTATAAGTTCTATGCATAGATGTTCTGATCGCCAACTCATACTACATCTGATTTTATTTTATTGAATTAATAAAAAACCCCATTTATTTTGAACTTTGCTATTTCTAAAGTAATTTTCATCAATTATATACTAGTTTGATGAGAACTGGCACTAGACTGATGGAAACCTTTAGGGTTAATCCATAAACTTGGTAAGTCTATAATAATATCGCCTGAAGTCGATACGATTCAACAGTTATTCCTCATGTGACACAAGAAAAAGACAAGTTCCAAAATGGGAGGACCCTTGTATGATTTGTATCTAAAATATCTAAAAAACTCTTATTTTTCTTGAACAGCAATAAATAAATAAAACGGTGCAATTACCGGCAATAGTAGTTTTGGCCCCCTTTCTGTCAGCACTCAAACTGAGCACCTTCCCGTCTTTGAAGATTTTTTCATGATAATAATTCACGAACATTTTTGGGAAGTCAAGGACATGGGGCATGAGAGGCTTGGGCAGGTGTGACATGATCTTCAAGAAGAGCAACTCCATGAGCTCCTCAACGGCTGCTGCAATGCCCTTGGCGTAAGAATCTAGGGAAGGTCAGTGACAAAGGATTTCCCCTCAACCGAGCTTTTGTGTAGTTCGACCTCGACAATCAAAGATTTTGAGATGCGAAGCCGGTCGACAATGAATCTGGAGAAATTACCCTGCATGTACTCCGAAGCTGGCTAAGAAGATCCACAATGAGGTAACTCCGATCAGGGGCTGGAAGAGTAGCATTCACAAATTTCACCTTGGCTGCCTCGGCGGCTGCCACATTCAGCAGCAAAGCTGCTCTCTCCTGCTCCAGTTGCTCGACTCTCTCCAGCTGCTTGCCTGCTTGACCTGCTCCCTTGGCACAGTTGCCCCCTTCCTTGCCACTACCGCAGTACCGCATGGGCTTACAACTTCTCCGCGGACCCTTGAGCGGCCTTGAGCGCGAGGTTGGATGCCTCTTTGCCTTTGGCCAGAGTGGCCATCTCTTTCTCCAAGAGTTGCTCTTCAGGGATCGAGCTTAGGGAACACTCGAGATTGATCACGGGACCGTCTGCCTCAAGGACACTTGTCAATGGCAGTGGGTTGAGGACGAAGTAATGATCTAGGGACGCCTGTCAGACTGGAGGAGGATGGAGAAAGAGGCAAGGTCGAGCCAGCCTTCTCTTGACAGCCTGAAGTTCGGACATCAGATGTTGTCTTATTCTTGGCCTGGGTGGTGGCCCGGTGAGCGGCGTTAGTCCTCTGATGGTTCTTTACATTCATCTCAGCTTGGTTTGGTTGATCTGTCGTCCAGCCATTACCTATCCAAGGTGAACCTTGATGTCCGACTCAATGTGACTGAACTCTTAGAAACCGGAGTGCGTAAAAGGATTAACACCTGACAACATGCCAATTCCCACGTCAGCCAGGTGAGCAGTCATGTCATACTTAGTGACGTTCGGTTCACCAATCTACGATGGGAAGGTGTTTGAGCGATTAGTGAACGGGATTTCCCCTATTTAGACGAGGAAGAAGCACCGTTTCCAGGATTTATTGGAGGATTTGTTGTGTTGGAAGAAGATCCGCCTGTCCGAGAATTGATGATGACACACGGGAGAAGTGATGGAAGAGATCCAGGTTGATCGTCACACCTTTTTCGCAGCAGAGGACAATGAAAGCCGCAATCACGCTGTTGGTGTTTGGCATAAACTGAGCCGGACGATGTAGTAGACGTTGAATATTCAACGAAGAATGGATGTAAGGGAAAGCCTCACCAGCAACTACCGAATCATTATGCACCATTATGCATTGGGGCTTGTCCCGCATGAGATGCAGGATGAAATTGGCAAATCACTGGACCTCAGACTGGATGTAGAACATGATCCACTTGATGTGGTGCTTGGATGACACCTGATCTTGGACTTGGATGGCCTTTGAAGTTCAATTCGTGATAGCAGTGCGTTTCTGAATTACCACCATCCCTTTGGTAATCCCTACGGTCGGATCCCAACTCATACTTATCCGGGTCTCATTTGTCACCCTAGCTGGAAGCCTCCTCTTCTCTGCTCGAGCCAGATATGCTCTCCTCTTCATCACCTACTTCCTTGGCCGCCCAGGAGCCGGAAGCACCATCATTTCTGACTCCCTTACCAGAATTTCCCATCCCATGCGGGTGAGACGTTGATTCTGGGATCATTTGAACCCGAGCCGGTCGTCCCTGAAGCAGAAACTATGGGATGCTCATCCTCTTGAGTTTGGCGGTCAAAACTTTCACTTGACATCAGTGGGGTCTCCTCTGAGAACTGAAGACTAGTGGGAGCCGTTGGAGGTCAGAAGGCAGGTAAGTATGGAAAAGATAAAGGAAGAAAGAGAGACACGAGGTTGACTTGGAAAAGAAGTGGCTGTCTGGAAAGAGAACGGAGCACCAGAAGCTTGATTGGAGGGTAAAAGTATGATGCAGAGAGTTCAGAAAGTGCAAAGGACGAAAAGGATTTGGGGAAGGGTATTTATGGCAAAAGCAACCACCCTGGAAATCAATTACAGCACGATACGTGCACCTAGGTGCAAGGAGTGGCACACGTCAGCCAGAGGCGAACCATCGCCATCATAACCGTTTGCCTAGAGCCCCACATACACAGAGACTTGCAATGCTCTCATGCTACCAACCCATGATGTCAGATGGGTGGATGCCAGTCAAAATACTTCCTTATGCCTCTCACATGCTCGAAACATCAAAAGTGGGGGCCAACCCAACATCACTAGGCCTGTTAAACGCCCAAGAACCAGGAATGGACGCCCACCCAAGGATGGTGATCAGGTAAAGGGGCTGAGGCCAAGGGGTTCACCCTGAGAATTAGGAGAGAGGACGAACATCCCCAGCTCGGTCGAGTAGTATCAACAGAAGAGCTCCTAACTTTCTTAAATGAATCGGCACTAAGATAGGCAAGTACAAATAACATCTTACGACTCTCCGAGAGTAATTCCAAATATCTTCTTTGTTAGCAAGGCAAGCAGTTATATTGAGATTTTGAAAGGGGGAAATGTTCATCTCTTTCTGGTGTGGGGACATAGTAATGAAAATGACAAACACAATAAAATGAAAAAGCATTTAGAAGAGATTCAAACTTGGGACCAACTCCTATAGATGGATAGACATTACAAATTGGCTGAAAATGGCGCTTTTAAGTTTGATATCGCAGAACTAGTATAACTTTATTAGTAAATGGACTAGTTTCCAAACCGATTTATTAGTCGAGCATGGCCATTTCGGGCCCATACAACTCCATTCAATTTTATTCAAGTCCATTTTTCGGTCAAGATTTGGCATTAATTTTATGTGCATCTTAGATGTGTTGGTGTATTTTCCGGCATGCTCCATACACTTTTTCCCTTTATCTAGCATGTGTGCTAAAACTGATTCTTTTTGTAGGATGGAAGGAACGCTGCACGGAGTTTTTCCCATATTCTACTTACTTTGGTGGCTCTCACAGCTCAGTGTCTATTGGTTTAGCCCACCACCTGATAAGACAAACTCCTGAAAATGGCTTACCTTCTCAAAATAGTGATCTCGAAGCAGGCTACATTTCATCTAATGGGAGATTACAGAACCACGATGGATTCAAGGATCTTGTCACCTGATCTATATAATTAGAGATATAAAGGTAAAGGGGCCTCAAACTACGAAATCCATTTTTGCTGCAGTTTTTCACCCCGTTACTGTTTTTTACTGTCTCTGTCATCCAACATGTCGAGAGACTAGTTACATTATCTAGCTAATTATTGTGGAGAACAGTAGCATTTCGGCACTACCCATCCACCTCAAAGTATTGAAAGCTTCTTTCTCTAGAGTTATACGAGCAGATGCCCGGAGTTTGTGGGCAAAGCTCATAGCCATCCATCCATGCGTCTTTAAGAGCATGTATTTTTCTTCTATATCTAGTTGTGCATTATTTGGTATGCAAGACATTTTTCACTTCGGAATTCTTTCATTATATATGTATGAAAAAGTTTGAGAAATTTGTTGATGCCATCTCAGTTTTTATCCAGTTGAAACAACAAATGTCATTTTTTACAAAATGTTCAAAGCACGTGCCTATCAGGTACATAACCAGCCTGGATTTTGCACCATTGGCTGTGTCATGTGGAATTGACGTGGAACATGCATTTGAGTGTAGGAAGTGAAGTGGTTTACGGTTTGCACTTTGCAATTGTACTCTGCAGTTTAATACTGTCTTGGAATATAGTTGTTTGAGTTGGACATGCATATTAAGAACTTCACATAGTTCTTACTTAATTCTCTACGACGCCTAGATGACAAAATATTTGAACAAGAAGCGGATCACAATTATTGTTCTTTCCAGCGTGAATTATTCTTTGTTTTACGTCCATACTTTTATTATCTATCTTTAAATTTAGATATCTTCACTACGATTAGTCAATTTGAGTCAAAAGCTTAATGTTTAGTGGGGATTACACTTACATGTATTTTTAGTACAAGTAGCTACCGGGTGAGGAGAAACCAATCTAACTCTCAGCTGTTGATGTTTATGTTGTTCAATCATAAAAGATTTTGTTTGTTTGTTTGGATTAGATTAAGCTTCCTATGAATCTGGATATTCATAAAAAATGAGTATTATTTTGGGTGGAACAGACAGAAAGGAACCAAATTTATTTCTCGATAGGAGTAATACTTTGTCGATTGTTGAGTGCAAGTGTGTATAGCAAGCAGGGTGATTAATATTGCAATTACTTGTATTACCTAGGAATGGACATGGTCCGGTCTAGGCATGGACCGGTTCGGGCCCGGCCGGGCCTCGGTTCAAGAAGGGGTGGGCCAGGCCGGGCCTCGTGTAATTTTTTTTTGGGCTTTTCCTAGTTAACCCCCACCCCTCCCACTCACCCCCAAACCAACCCTAACCACCTCAAATGGCCCAAAATACCCAGCCCAACCCAAAAACTAAAAAAAAATTCAAAAAAAAATAAATTAAAATTGGCCCGGGCCCGGGCCCGAACCTGTCTAGCCGGTTCACCTTTTGAAGGGCCTGAGCCCGAATCGAGAATCCACCGGGCCGGGTGGCCCGAACCGGCCAACCTACCGGTTCACCGGGCCGGTCCGGGCCTGCACAGTGGCGGGCCGGCCTGGTTCTGGGCCGGTTGGCCCGGCCCGAGTCCACCCCTAGTCCGGTCCCATATCTGGTTTGGGACCAGCCAGTCCCAGTTCGTGAAACTGAAGTTTGGAACTGACGTGCCATTATACGGGTCCCGGTACCCAGCTGGTCTTGGAACTGGCCCTGAGCCGGTTTAGGCTTAGTGCATTTTTTTTAAATAAATAATAATGCTCCTTAAAAAACAATTGTAGATTTATTTCAAACACTACATTGGCTCAGAGTATTAGACATTTATAAATTACAATGGAGAATAGTTTAAAGTTTAAACCTTGAATCCAAGAAGTGATAAAGTCAAGAACTAACGTCGGAACCAAGGATGGTCTCGGACTGGACTGGACCGGGTTTTGGAACTGCTGGTCCTGGTTTTTAAAATTGAGGATCGGAACTAACTCGGTTTTTTACGGACCCGTTTCTGGTCCGGTTTACCCGGTCAGTCCTTTTTTTAAAAAAAAGTTGATTGGAAAATTTTTTGGCCATTGGGACTTGAATCAGGACTGCCTGGTCCGGTCCCCAAAAATAGTGACCCGGGACCCCGTGCGTAAAAAAACAGTAGCGGATCCGGTTCCGGATCGGTCTGGGATCGCTGATCGGGTCCATGCCTAGTCTGAATTGCTTCTGGTGTCGGTTGGCGTTTCCTCCATGAAGTTAACTAGTGTTAATATGTTATGTTAACTTCTTATGTTCTAAGATGAGTCTTCAACTAATTGAAGTAAATGAGGGTTTGGAGAGGTTGCATACCTGACCTGGATCTATAATTAGTTAGTACGTTGTCGGTTTCGATAAATTCTTGTTTCACGACAACTGCTTAAACTGGCGTTGATAAGAATTGTTTTGTCATACTCAATTGGAAACATTATATATAAAGCAATCTCGTTAATTGAGCTTCGTGCTACAACATGGGTGGATTTACTTTTTTCAAAAGACTTGGTACTGTAAATTTAAAAAGATATTTTCTTTTAGATGAAAACCTAGTCGATTTCAAGGGAGGATTACATTACTATATTGTGTATGAAACTCATTAACTAAATTATGAAGTAGATTGTTAACGTCGTTGAATTGAGATTGTAGATCTATAGGGTTGTTGTACATTGGGAAACCATTGTATAAAGCATTATGATTGTACTTAAAAATGTTTAACAAGTAGTAAGTTTGAAACGAGGATCAAGACAAAAGCAACAATAATAAACATAAGTGGCTTAGGAAAATTCTTTAAAAGTGCTGACAAGAATAACAACTTTATAAAATAGGTTTGTAGTAGGTACAAACATGTAGACCTGTCCTCGATTTCTGGTTCAATCGGAATTGAAACCGAAACCGGCGGTTTTGAATTGGAATCGGAGCCGGCGTAGCATACAGTTCGGTACCGAAGGTTCTAGGTAGCGGTTTGGTTCTTCAAATTTTGAGGAACCTTAATCGACGGTTTCGGTCCGCAATCGCTTTTTTAAATTTTTTAAATAAAAATTAAATAAAAACTAATTGAATAAATTAATGTTAATAACAAAATATATATATATATATATAAGATCAGGTGAGAAGTCTCCCTTAAAATGAGAAGTAATCACAGCCCTTGGATTTGCATCAAATCTTACAACGCAGCAAATTTGTAGACTGAATATAGAAACTTATAACCAATAAATCATAACTTATAAAGCTCTCCATCGTAATTACGGAAATGTCACCGCGTCAATTTTTTTTTGAAGGTTTCAGGAGTTATTTTTTACGGTGGCATTTTAGGAATTATTTTCGAGAGATCTATAAGTTATGATTTATTGGTTAAAAGTTCGTGTTTTTAGTCTATTAGTTACACCACACAGTTTTCAGCCTACGAGTACTTCTCACCTGATCCGCTCCCTATATATATATATGTGTGTGTGTGTGTGTGTGTGTGTGTGTGTGTGTGTACACATATGTATATGTGTGTACACACATACACACATATGGGGGAGAATTCAAATAAAAAAGAATCTTAACGTGTAAAATGGGAAATTGGGAATTAATCTGAGCTGGCCAAATTTTCAATTTGATGCACATTTTTAAAAAGTGCGTCACACACACACACACACACACACACACACACATATTTAGGATCAAGTGAGAATAGCATCTTAGGAGAGAAATGAGAATAAATATAGACCATTAGATCATCTCCTAATTCTACCATGCTACAAATCTGTCGAAGGGGCTATTATGCCATTCCATATACATATTTATTAACTTCCAAATATTATGCCTTCATTTTGAATATATTTGATTATTTATTTTGTCTTTATCATTTCTATGAGTTATGGCCTTAAATTGGTTTCATTTTTTCATTTTACACTTTCTTTTGTCTGGTTGTTTTCTTTTACGTAGTGAGTAGCTTAAACAATTTTTTATTTTTCTTTGCGCTCATTAATTTATTACCAAATTATATAATTCTGCATTTTTAGTTTACGTGTTATCATTTTTACATCTTTATTTCGCTTATTATAAATTTACATGATGAGTAGGATATTGCATAATCTGAATTTGATCATTTGTAGCCTCAAATTTTATAGTGCAACTTTATGTTTTACACGGTGCACAAGTGAATTACATAAATAATGTTCAAAAGTGCACAAATGCACGAGAAAAGTGCAAAGCGATTCAATGAAAAGCGCTCTTGAAAAAGTGCAAGATATTCTATTCTAATAAAAATGCTAGTTGAGAATTTTTAATATTTATACGTTATGCATTTTTAATAAATTATGCCGTACTAAAAATTAAATAAATCCACACTTTTTATGCTCAGGTGCACAAACTAATTTTTATAGTGCAACTTTATGTTTTACACGGTGCACAAGCGAATTGCATATATAATGTTCAAAAGTGCACAAATGCACGAGAAAGGCGCAAAGCAATTTAATGAAAAGTGTCGTTCAAAAAAGAGCAATATATTCTAATCAAAAGAGCATGATAAATTTTAGTTGAAAATGGGTACATTTATATGTTACTAGTTTTAAGAAATTATTAAAAATCAAAGAAATTCACTTTTTATATAATCATCCTGAAAAATAAATAATGGTGTTGAATTTTTTATTTCAATTAGCACCTTTTATATAACCATGTTGCATTTTATGCCAAATGTATATGTTATATAATAGAAAAGTGCATCTAGTTTAAATATTTAATTAAATTGATGTGTTGCATTATATTTGGAATTAAAGTGCACTTATTCAACGTTGGAGTGCAAAAATACAAAACTAGGTGGATGATATATTGTATCAGGAATCATAATTAAACATGAAAAATGCATAATTCAAATAAAGTTTTTATAAACTTAACGTGAGAGATTACTGAATTTAAAAATAAAATTTAGTAATAACATTAAAGTGGATTATTATTTGAAGGTGCAATCTTCACAATTACAAAGTGCAAATGAATATGGGCAATGGTGCACTCGGGCAGATTTAATTGAATTTCTTGATTGTATTTATTTTTTAAAATAACAACCAAAATAAATAATCTATTAAAGGAAAAGAATTATCCGGATTAATAGGTTGCCCATATTGCATTTAATGATGAGAACCTATATCTCCTTAAACAACCCTTAAAACAACTAAATTCAAATGAGTTTAGTCATATCTCGGCTAGAGCAAAGGAATCTAAAAAGGAGTACCAAAGAATCTATCAATTGTTTCTTTTATCTCCAAATGATGATGCTCTTAAAGAGGACATGAATTTTGCAAAGAAAAGAGCCTTATTTCTTAAGGAGGCCGAGGAAGCTTATTTGAAACAAAAAGCTAAGGCTATCCATTTATTTCAATCCGATAGATGTACTAAGTATTTTCATTCTATTGTAAAGAAGAAACAAGCAAAAAACTCAAT